GAGAGATACCATATAAAACTAATGTATGTGGCAAAGCCAGGAACCAGGGCTCATACCTCACTTGGTATCAGAATATACATTTTTGAGAAAAAAACACACAAATATATGGCAAAGCTGATCCAAATTTTAAGCCTTCTGGAACATAATAGAATTCTTTCCAGAAATTTGACAAATGTAATGAGTGTGATCAACTTTGTAAACAATACACAGCTTTGTGGTCATGGAAGTATTCATATAATATGGAAACGGTACAAGTGAGTCAAGGCCTTTCAGCAATTACCTCAGCATACGGCACGAAGAATTCATACTAGAAAGAAATGACAAATGTAATGGAGATAAATGTTCAAACAATGCTCTCAATGGACTTAACGCTAAGGAAGTTTACACTCAGGGGAACTAGGTTCATTACTTATGAAGATCAACCAAAAAAAAAAAAAGATTAAGATCAACCAGGATCAGATAGGACTCGGTGCTTTCACTGCCATGGCCTGGGTTCAATCCCTGGTCAGGGAACTGAGATCCTGCAAGCAGCATGGAACAACAGGAAGAAAAAAAAAAAAGGCTACTTGAAAAAAATAATAAAACTAGAGACTATAATACAGAGTGAAGTCAGAAAGAGAAAAACAAATACCGTGTATTAACGCATATATGTCATAGGAACCTAGAAAAATGGTACAGATGAACCGGTTTGCAGGACAGAGATAGAGACACAGATGTAGAGAACAAATGTATGGAAAAGGGGGAAAGGGGCGGGGGGAGGGTGGTGGTGGTGTGATGAATTGGGAGATTGCGATTGATATGTATACATTAATATGTATAAAATGGACAACTAATAAGAACCTGCTGTATAAAAAAAACCTCATGAGATGGTGTCTATCAATGAATCAAGGATACCCGTGGAAAAGTCTAATTATCTGCATATTATTAAATGTTTTTATTCAATTATTTGAAGTTTCTTGAAAACGGTGTATTCTTATTAACGACCTATAACCTGAAGTTTGAAATCTGCTGTTATTCTTTCGTTACTCGCTATTCTTTCATGACCATGATGGTTTTAGGGAAGGGATGGGTAAGATGAAAGGACCTACTTCATTAGGTGGGATTTATTCATATCCAGGTTACTGTGAAAAACTAGGACACTCACTTTAAGGTGCAATGTTATAAATAAACTTGACAGCATGGGGAGGGGCAGAGTATAGATATAAAACTATTATCTAAAATATAGTGCTTTTTGCGCTCATTGCCCCTTCTCTAGATTTGCTGTGACTGAGGGCTATTGATGATTATAGGAAAGGGTTACCCTACCAGATGATCGTGAAACACAGTACAACTGGACACTGAGAGAATGAAGTTTTCATATGAGTATCACGATGGCAGAAAAAATGGAGGGGAACAATGGTCTTCTGTCCTCTTAAAAGGGAATAGCTGTTGTATATCATTTATTAATGAAAATTAGTATTATTTCTAGACACTGAAGACATGGTGTTACAGAAGATAGTTTAATGAAAGGAACTAGAGTAAAGCATGCTTGTGAGGGATTCAAAAATTAATGTAATGTAATCTTTCCTTTATAATCCTGAATGAGTCATAAGCTTTCTATTGACCCCAGAGTATCCCACCTCTTTGGGGCACTTCACAATACATAATACGTCGTTAGGCTCTCTAGGTTGAGGGGCATCTAAACAATTTCTTTCCATGTTATATATAAAACGGCATTCAACTTTGGAAATATACATTCATAATCTGCATTTGACTTATGAACTCCTAAGTGTATCCCTGATTATTTCTGGGACTGCTATGAAAATACCAAGTCGGTGAAACTTCAGATTCAAGCTCCCTACAAACTGCCTCTCCTTACCTGAATATACACAAGATTATATTTTTACATGCCTTTTTTAGTGCTGAAGTTAGACCCATGGTTTGCATATCTACATGAAAACAGAAATATAGTAAGCATATGAAAACTATGAGGAAATAAAAGAACATTTCATAAATAAGGATTAAAAGGACACAATCTATCTTTTGTGTTGTAGTGCTCAGAGAAATAACCAGAAAAGATCAAGGTTCATGAGTTTCCTCTAAGAATGAACATACACAATGGGATTTATAAATTATAAATTTCACGTATGCACTCTCCAAAATATTTGTTGGGGTTTTTTTAAGGATTTTTTAAAAGGGTATTTTTTTTTAAATACATTTATTTATTTATTTTTGACTGCATTGGGTCTTCGTTGCTGCGTGCAGGCTTCTCTTGTTGTGGAGCATGGGCTCTAGGCATGCAGGCTTCAGTAGTTGTGGTGCACAGGCTTAGTAGTTGTGGCTCGCAGGCTTTAGAGCACAGGCTCAGTAGTTGGGGTGCACAGGACTAGTTGCTCTGCAGAACTGGGATCTTCCCAGACTAGGGCTTGAACCCATGTCCCCTGAACTGGCAGGCAAATTCTTACCCACTGCGCCACCAGGGAAGCCCTATTTGTTGTTAATTACTTTTGCTTTTTTTTTAAATTAATGAATTTATTTATTTATTTTTGGCTGCGATGGGTCTTCATTGCTGCGTGGCTTTCTCTAGTCTCTGAGTGGGGGCTACTCTTTGTTGCGGTGCCCAGGCTTCTCATTGCGGTGGCTTCTCTTGTTGCCGAGCTCCGGCTCTAGGCACGCAGGCTTCAGTAGTTGAGGCTCGTGGGCTCTAGACCGCCGGCTCATGGTTGTGGCTCACAGGCTTAGTTGCTCCGCGGCAGGTGGGATCTTCCTGGGCCAGGGCTCGAACCCATGTCCCCTGCATTGGCAGGCGGATTCTTAACCACTGTGCCACCAGGGAAGTCCCTGCACTTCTGCTTTCTCTGCTGGAAAAAGATGGAACCCCACACAAAGTTTAGTTTGGAGGGCTTTCTGTGGAGACCAGGGTGGACCAAGTTGTTCCCAAAATGGCTAGAGAAAACAGAGCAGAGAATGGTGATGTTCTTGCGTTACAGTGGATACAAGACTGGGCTGTGGTGATGGTACTTGCTTGTGGTGTGAACCTACAAGTCCTGCCAAGGGATGGAGCGCTCAGGCTTTATTATCAGCCTGCCCTAATAACATGGGCAGAAGAGGAAGAGCTTGTACCGAGTCATAAGGTGTCTGTAGTCAGACCTCAAAAATGGAGTCAGACTCACAATGTTTTGGATTCATTTTGTACTTCTACCTTCCTGAACAACAAGAGCATAAATCTATGTTGATTTAAGGCATTTAGTTTGTGGTAAGTTGTTACAGAAGAAATAGAAATTTTAAAGAAATGATGTATATGGAAAATCAAAAGAATCTACAGGGCTTCCCTGGTGGTGCAGTGGTTGAGAGTCCGCCTGCCAATGCAGGGGATACGGGTTCGTGCCCCGGTCCAGGAAGATCCCACATGCCGTGGAGTGGCTGGGCCCGTGAGCCATGGCTGCTGAGCTTGCGCATCCGGAGCCTGTGCTCCGCAACGGGAGAGGCCACAACAGTGAGAGGCCTGCGTACCACAAAAAAAAAAAGAATCTACAGAAATTTCTAGAAAGAGTATACGATGCAAGGTGTCAGGATACAAGTACACCATGCAAAAATTTATTGAAATTTTATATAGTAGCAATTTACAAATGAATACTGAAATTAAAAATGTAGTATTTTCTTTAAATGCTCAGAAAAGTAAAACTAGAAGAAAAAGTGTAAATCTAACAAAACATGGACTTTTATATGAAAAACTACAGTGGTCTGAAAGAAATCAAAGATGACATTTAATTTAAGTCATTTTAGAGAAACACACCACAGTGAATTGCTAGAGAAACATAGCATATTCATTGAAGGTAAGACACAACATAGAAATGATGACAAATCACCTCAAATTGACATACAGGTTTAATGCATTTCTCCACAAAATTTTTGAAGATACAAACAAGATTTTTCTAAAATAAATATGGAAGGCAAAAGAAATAGAAGAGCTGATATATCTGAAAAATACTATGTGGGCAAAAAATATATCTGAAGTGGTTGGAATCACTCCACACAATAACAAGATTTATAATACAGTGACAGTAATCAAGACTGTGTGGGATTTGTCGAGTGACAGACACACAGACCAACAGAACAGAATGAGGAAACCAGAAACAGCCCTACAGGAGTACAGCGTACCCTTGAACAACACAGGTTTAAGCTGTGTGGATTCACTTATAAGTGCATGTTTCCCAAAACACACTATCACAGTACTACAAGGTCACAACTCAGTTGAATCCAAGGATGCAGAACATATGGAGGGCCAATATTAAGTTATACGTGGATTTTTGACTACTCGGGACTCAACACCTTTAACTCACTGCACTGTTCAAGGGCCACTGTACTTCCAACAGATTTTTGACTAAGGTACCAAGGCAATTCAATAAACGAAGGATTTTCAAAAACTGGCAGTAATCAATAACATGTTCACAATGGGGGAAAAACTCCATTTAAACTTCACACCTGTACAAATATTAGCTCAAAGGTAATCACTGGTTTAAAGGTAAAATTATAAAACTAAACAAGAAGACATTTAGTAAAAACACTGCAGAATAAAATTTTGATACCCTATGGATAACTGCTCTTCTAAAAAACTGCTTACATATATTATCTGGTAAACATTTCCAAACATTAATATTTTTACTGAAGTATAGTTGATTTACAACATTCTGTTAGTTTCTGCTGTACAGCAAAGTGACTTAGTTATACACATATATACATTCTTTTTAATATTCCTTTCCATTATGGTTTATTCCAGGAGACTGAATATAATTCCTTGTCCAAACATTAATTTTTATTAACCTAGGGTAAAAACACCTTGGGCAATTGATTTAAACAGTGTTTTACAAGCATTTTCAAAAACCATATTGCACAATGGAACATACGTGTGCCTCAGGTAAAGAAATGTAATAAATTATTAGCATGAAGAAAACTGTATTGTTTCCTAATCAAGAAATCAGAAAAAAAAAAAAAAAAAAAAAAGAAAATAAAAAGTAAACATTCGCTGTTTTGTTAAACAGTCTGAATCCATTTTATGATGTTGGACTACTGACAGCTTTGGGCAGCAGGACAACCTCTTCCTATTCTACCTATGTGGGCAAACTAATTAAAAAAAAAAAAACAACAACCTGAGGACTCCCTCCTTTGATACAAACTGGAAGTTCAAATCTCATCAAGTGATCTCCTTAACACACGAAGCCATTGACCATTCCCTGTTCTCTTCAACCATTTTTTGAACACCTTGGAAGTCTCCACCCTTCCCATGGAAAGCTGAATTATATAACAAACATTCTCATAACACTTCCATATAAATATCAGTCTCAATAACGAAACCACATTCTGTGTGGGGTTCCACCCTATTCCACTGAATGGTCACAAGTGCAAACCAGCAACAACAAAAACATGTCTTAAGGGTGAATACATGAAATTTCTAGTTTATCCACCAAACAAAAATGTCCCATTGTATGTGGTTCATTTTGAAGAGAAAACTCATGAACATAGAGCCCTAAAAGTTATTTCACTGAGCACAATAAAGGAAAAATGTGATACTGCATGATTTTTTAATTTTTCTATTTTGCATATGCTTACTATTTTCCTAGTTTCTCTTCACCTAAATCAAGGTGCACACCATGACGTTTATCTAGACACATAAAAGAACAAGAAAAAATACATTCATATACTGCATACTCAAGAATGGGGAGCAGGTATTAAGGAGTGTTTAAAAAAATAGCATCCCAAGGTAGAGTAATGCTGTAATGTTCTGCTCAGTATGGACTGTCTAATGAGTAGTAGGATGTGAGCCCCAAGTGAAGGTTTTCCGCATTCATACATTCATGAGGTAATCTCCAGAATGAATTCTTCGGTGAATACATTCCTCGTCAAAAGGCCAGGCCACAATAATTACAATTACTGGTTTCAATCAGGAATGAAATTTCTAATAAAGCATAAGATGGGGACACCTGCTAAAAGCCTCGTCACATCACTACATTATTAAAGTCTCTCACCAATATGGATTGCCTGATGGCATTAAGTCAGGCTTGAAAGCACACTGAAGAATTTGACATGCTCATTACATGTGTAAGACTGCTCACCATTATGAATTCTCCTAAGACTTGGAAGGGCTGAACTCTGACGAAAGACCTTGCCACACTCATTGCATTTGTAAGCCTTCTCACCATTATGAATTCTCTGATGACGTACAAGGTTTGCATTTTGACTAAACACTTTGCCACAATCATTACTCTTGTAATTTGCTCCGTTATGTATTTTCCAATGAATTCGAAGTTGGGGTTTTTGACTAAAGACCTTGGCACACGCATTACATTTGTAAAGTTTCTCTGCAATATGAATTTCTTGATGCCTCGTAAGGGTTGTCTTCTCACAAAAGACCCTGCCACACTCAAGACATCTGTAAGGTTTCTCTCCAGTAAGAATTCTCTGAAGAAGTGCAAGGACTGCATTTCGATTAAAGACTCTGCCACACACATCACATTTATATGGTTTGGATCCTGTATGGATTATCTGATGATGCCAGAGAGTTAAGCCATGATGAAAAGTTTTGCCACACACATTACGTTTGTAAGGTTTCTCTTCAGTATGAATTCTCCGATGAATTGCAAGGTATGAATTTTAACCAAAGACCTTGCCGCATACATCACAATTATGTAATTTCTCTCCTGTACGGATTATCTGATGCCTACTGAGGTGTGAGCCCTGATGAGAGGTTTTAGCCACACTCATTACATTTGTAAGATTACTCACTATTATGAACTGTTGGATGACTTGCAAGGTTTGTGTTTTGACTAAAGACTGAGACACACTCATTACATTTTTAAGGTTTCTCTGTAGTATGAATTTCCTGATGAAGTCCAAGGACAGCATTTTGATGAAAGACTGTCACATACGTCATATTTATATGGTTTTGCTACTCGATGGATTATGTCATGCCTACGGATGCCTGAGGAAGAAAGAAAGATTTTCCCACAGACACTATGTTCTCCACAGTATGAATTCTCTGATGAGTTACAAGGTCTGGATTTTGACTAAAGACCTTGGCGCACACATCACATTTATGTAATTTCTCTCCTGTATGGATTATCCGATGTCGAGTGAGGGTTGAGCTCTGATTAAAGGTTTTACCACAGTCATTACACTTGTAAGGTTTCTCTCCAGTATGAATTCTCTGATGAACTGAAAGCTTTCTTTTCTGACTGAAGACCTTGCCACACTCATTACATTCATAAGGTTTCTCTCCAGTATGAACTCTTTGATGAATTACAAGGTCTGAATTTTGACTAAAGACCTTGTCACATACATCACATTTATGTAATTTCTCTCCTGTATGGATTATCCGATGTCGAGTGAGGACTGAGCTCTGATTAAAGGTTTTACCACACTCATTACATTTGTAAGGTTTCTCTCCAGTATGAATTCTCTGATGAACTGAAAGCTTTCCTTTTGTACTAAAGACCTTGCCACACTCATTACATTTGTAAGGTTTCTCTCCAGTATGAATTCTTTGATGAATTACAAGATCTGAATTTCGGCTAAAGACCTTGTCACATACATCACATTTATGTAATTTCTCTCCCATATGGATTCTCTGATGACTCCTGAGATTTGCGCCCTGATGAAACGTTTTGCCATACTCATTGTAAGGTATTTCCCTGTGTGGGCTCTGGTCTTGTGTCAGTATTGAAGGATGCATAAAATACATACTAGAAATGTTGGTTTGGACAGGAGGAGAAATTCCTTCAACTGGTGAAAATGAGGAAGTACTGCTGATACTCTTCTTAGCTTTATTAAAATCATCAATTTTCTGTTTACTTTTAAACATATGCAGTTCATCCTGAAGGCTTAACACAAGTCTATTTCCAATATGGTTCTTTCCCACATCCCTTCCACCATGCTGACTTCTTCTATCAGTGACATTTTGGTTATGGGATGTAGGGATATTTCTGTAATTTCTTTTATCATGTCTCCACTGAAATCCAAAGTCAAACATATTCTCCTGTATTTCCGAGAGGTAAAAAGGTTCCTGGATTTCATGTCTTCCCAAAATCACTGTTTGGAATACTCCTCCTCTATCAATGTTTGATTTTAGCTGTAATTTCCTTACCACGTGTATATGAGAAATATCTACAAGATATAAAGAACCATATATTTCCTATTCATTACACTGCATGAATAAATGTTTCACGTTGAATATATGATATTAAACAAAAGTAACACTTTTATCAAACAGAGTTATGAAACTTTTCAACCATGATGTTAAATTTTTGAAGAACAGTAAAGAATAGGATTCTTCACTACAGAGTAATTACACGTAATTCAAATTAAGTTCAACGTAGCATCGTTTCAACCACTGTGACAAAAACATTCAAATGGAAAAACTTACATTAGCTCTCAAAAAAGGGTATTTTCTACGGTGACCACAAAGCACATACCAACTAACAGTAAACACACAAATACCAGAAGTTTAAAAAGGAAATCTTAAGGGAGATGCAAGAAGAAGTGAGCTATGTAACTAATACTGTTATTCAAGCATCCCTACTGGAAATGGTTTCTGAGTCATCACGGCTGCACATATTGATTTCGGTCATCTACTGAAAAAGTGGATGAAAGGGAATCATTTTTACAGTGTGAGTAATGAGGAAGGTGGTGGGATGGATGATGAAGTGCTGCAGAAACTGGGGAGATCAAGAGAACAACTTAAATACGTGACCAACGACAGTGATTCTATCCACATCAAGAGACAATGTAAATGGACTTCCCTGGCAGTCCAGTGGTTAAGCCTATGTGCTTCCAAAGCAGGGGGTGCAGGTTCCATCTCAGGTCAGGGAACTAAGATCCCACATGCTACGGGGTGTGGCCATAAATAAATAAAGAAAGAAAGAATACAAAAAGAGAGACAGAGAGAGACCATGTAAAGAAAGACCAGGACTGATAACGGGACTGAGTGGAGGAGAGGGAATAATAAACATGGGGTATCATAGCTTGTGATTGCATATATGTGTGAATAAAACTGTATGAGGCAACTAAAAATAATGAGGTTAAAAGAAAAGGACTTCCCTGGTGGTGCAGTGGTTAAGAATCCACCTGCCAATGGAGGGGACATGGGTTCGAGCCCTGGTCCAGGAAGATCCTGCATGCTGCGAAGCAACTAAGCCCGTGTGCCACAACTACTGAGACTGCGCTCTAGAGCCCGTGAGCCCCAGCTACTGAGCCCACATGACACGACTACTGAAGCCCACATGCCTAGAGCCCATGCTCCTCAACAAGAGAAGCCACTGCAATGAGAGAAAGCCCGCACACTGCAATGAAGACCCAACGCAGCCAAAACTAATAAATAAATTTACAAAAAGAAAAAAATTAAACTAAATTTTAAAAATTAATTAAGGAAAAAAAAGAGAAAAGAAGAATTGGCCCAGCAAGTAACACAACACTATTCCTTTTTTTTTTGGCCATGCCATGCAGCTTGCTGGATTCTTAGTTTCCCAAAAAGGGATCAAACCTGAGCCCACGGCAGTGAAAAGAGCTGAGACCTAACCACTGGACCACCAGGGAGGTCCCAGTACGATTCCATTTATAACTGTGGAAATTATACTCTGGGTATGGGGCCAAAACAAAAGGGATGTAAAAAGAGAGAGAATGGGACACTGAAGCAATATAGCAGGTTTACATTTATTACATTATTTGCTACATAAGGTATCAAATTGAATATTCCATAGGCCCCATTTCTATGCATATAATCACAAAGTACACACATAATATCCCAGGAGATGTGAAAGAATGTTTTAGCCGAAACCTAAAGGAAAAACTACAATAAGGCCATCAAAAAGAGTTTCTTCCATATAAAAACATACAGATACAAAGAAACTGAAAAGTACAAAAGCTCTCCAGAATACTGTAAAAAGAACAAAACTATAATAGAATGCAGCAATTACATTATTGGGAATGTATCAAACAGAATGAAATCACTGTCTTAAAAGATACCTACACTTTTGGCTTCCCTGGTGCCGCAGTGGTTAAGAATCCGCCTGCCAATGCCCGGGACACGGGTTCAAGTCCTGGTCTGGGAAGATCCCATATGCCGTGGAGCAACTAAGCCCGCGCGCCACAACTACCGAGCCTGCACTCTACAGCCCGCGAGCCACAACTACTGAAGCCCACGCACCTAGAGACCGTGCTCCGCAACAAGAGAAGCCACCGCAATGAGAAGCCCGCGCACCACAAGGAAGAGTAGGCCCCGCTCGCCGCAACTAGAAAAAGCCCGTGCGCAGCAACAAAGACCCAATGCAGCCAAAAATAAATAAGTAAAATAAATAAATTTATTAAAAAAAAAAAAAAGATACCTGCACTCCCACATTCATAACAGCAGTAATCACAATTGCCCAGGCATTGAAACAACCTAACTGTCCAACAGATGGATGGGGAACAAATCTGGGAGATACACAGAATGCAATTTCATTTATACATAAAGAAGAAAAAAGTCCTGCTATTTTTAACAGCACAGATGGACAACGAGGGTATATACGCAGTAAAATTATTCAGAGAAAGAATAAAACTGAATGATCCCATTTATGTGCAAAATATATTTTTTAAAAAAGAGGCATGCTGCGACTTCCCTGGTGGTCCAGTGGTTAAGAATTCGCCTTCCATTGCAAGGGACGCAGGTTCGCTCCCTGGTCGGGGAACTAAGATCTCACATGCCAAGAGGTAAATAAGCCCAAGTGCTGCCTCAACTGAGCCCGCGAGCTCTGGAGCCCGCCCGCCACAACTAGAGAAGCCTGCGCGCCACAATGAAGACCCAGTGCAGCCAACAAAAAAATAAATACATAAATAAAAATAAAGTAAAATTAAAAAAAGAGGCATACTAAGAGCAACTTAAAGTAGAACAGCTGTTACCAAACTCTGGTAGCAGAATGTGGAGATATTAGTCAAAGGAGTAAATGGCTGAGGTAGCAAAACAAGCAGACAGGGCTTGAGACAGCTCCTTGCAGGTTCTGAGGTGCCAGATGGAATGAAAGAGCAGCCAGTGTTTTCCCATCTTCTGATTAAGTCTTCAAAGAACACAAGATGGGGGTGGAACCCAGAAAGGCTCAGGGGCTGGAGTCTGGAGGCATCAGCTCTGATCTATAGGGACTGAGAACTGAGCATCCAAGGGAATCAAGTCCAAAAGGAGAGCTGAGGGAGCAACAGACCCCTTTAAAACAACCGTGTTGGGGCTTCCCTGGTGGCGCAGTGGTTGAGCGTCCGCCTGCCGATGCAGGGGACACGGGTTCGTGCCCCGGTCCGGGAAGATCCCACATGCCGCGGAGCGGCTGGGCCCGTGAGCCATAGCTGCTGAGCCTGCGCGTCTGGAGCCTGTGCTCCGCAACGGGAGAGGCCACAGCAGTGAGAGGCCCGCGTACTGCAAAAAAAAAAAAACTCTGTTCACGCTCTCAAAATCAAGCAGCAACAAGTTCACAGGGGCCAGAGAGCCGAGGGCAGCAGATCATGATAAAGGCTGCCTTTGTCTCTGGTGGGGCTCCCACACCACTGGAGGGGGAAGAATACATTTTACATGTTGAGGGACCGAGTGATAACTAAGGGAGAAGAAAAATTTCCTCTCAGACTTGACAACGAATAGATTTCTGTTTTCGCAAACAACTCTCCCATTTGGTAGAGTTTCCCAGACACTACTAATGCTGCGGTGGGTCTGGAAACATATTTCACAAACTCATCGACCGCTTGCCTCCTTCTCAATGCAGAGGGAACGATGGAATATGCAGACATCTAACTCTCTTCCAGTAGGTACTGAATCAAAAGCACAGAGGTAGAGCACAGGGAATGAAATATTTTAAAAGTTTCCACTTGGGCATTAGACACACTTAATCACTTAAAAAACTCCTGGTGCACCGCGAAGTGGCCAGATCATCTGAAGAAAGGGCATGTTTAAACTCCTGATGCTAAATCAAGAAGGTTTCCATGCCTCAGTCAACGTGGCTTTGAGCTCAGTTAAGCAAGGCAGGGGATTCCAAAAGGCAAACCAGGGAAAATGCAAAGATACCCTCCCGACTTTTGGAGGGAAGTTATCCTCACCCACAGAGATCAGGTTCCTGTAGGTCTCCAACATCACGTCCCTGTACAAGGCCCTCTGAGCAAGGTCCAGGCATTCCCACTCTTCTGGAGAGAATTCGATGGCCACATCACTCAATGTCAACTGTCCCTTAAATAAAAAAACATTTCACCAAGAGGACGTGAGGAGAGTTCTTATTTCCATACAAAATGAGTAGAGGTAAAAGATCAATTAGGTTGAAGTATGTATTCTGACAGATCCATGGAAAGGTATTTGAAGCTAACTGGGTGTCTAATTTTAATTTCTTATGCTTTGTCATAGAGATTACAATATCCTTCAAATCGATTGACCCTTCTCATTCTTGTGGGCAATACATAAAATATATGCAAATAAAAATTCAACACCGTGTTGTCCATGTGGAAGTGTTAGATATTACGTTCTATACACTGAGGGATAATCATCCTCCTGGAGGTGGCGGAACATGAGTGGTGTCTTCAGAGACAACAGAGTCCACAGTGGCTCTATAAAGAAAGCTCAAGACCTCCAACTATGATGATGGTAACAGCAGCAAAGAGGAACATTATGGGCTTCCCTGGTGGCGCAGTGGTTGGGAGTCCGCCTGCCGATGCAGGGGACGCGGGTTCGTGCCCTGGTCCGGGAAGATCCCACATGCCGCGGAGCGGCTGGGCCTGTGGGCCATGGCTGCTGGGCCTGCGCGTCCGGAGCCTGTGCTCCGCGGCAGGAGAGGCCACAGCAGTGAGAGGCCTGCGTACAGCGAAAGAAAAAAAAAAAAGAAAGAGGAACATTATATGAACACTTCCTATATGCTATGCTTTACTCTAAATGTTGTTACAACATCAAAGCTCATTAAAGAAAGATCTTTTCCCAACTTACAGAGGAGAAAACTGTGTCAGAGACACTCTGAAAAACTCGACTGAGTTCAGCAATCTAAGGAATCATACACTAAGCACATGAACTTGGTTGGGCTACACCATGGTTGGGCTCTGGAACTGAAGCTTAAAAATCAAAGAGTTAAGTAACACATAGAGCATTAAAATTTCATTGACAGACGATTACCTGAGAAAACTTTAAAGAAGTTCAAGGTAAACAACATGGAACAGCCTAAAAGTTCATTATATACGTGTACACACACACATACACACAAAATGTTAGTAATCTTATTACTATTTAAACCATGAACATGATACTGTAGAAAAAATTCAAGGCCAGTGAATATATTAAAGATATAATATGAACTGCAAAAAGATATCTATAGATTTAAAATCATGATGTCTTTTATCTAAACCATGGACTTGCACATCCATGCACATATGCATACATGTCAACGATAAATTAACTGAAACGAGAGTGGTCTCCTGACAGATTTTCAGACTATTTTTTCATTATCATATTTATTCACGTGTATTTCAGGATATTTCTTACAGAAATGAAAATGTACAAACTGTACTAAACTGAGTTTCTCAACATGATTTTATAATAGGCTACTAAAAAAGAAAATAGTACAGACATTAAAAAAAAAAACAAGAATACTTTAACTCCAATTTCAATAACTATATTCAAAAATATAAATCTGTCCATTTGAATTTATAGATAGGCATTAACAAAAGCCAAAAAGGGTTTCTCTGTTTTTCCACTAATAAAACATTGATTCAAAATTAGAAAAAAAAATTTTTTTAATTAGAAAAGTTATTACTATTATATATTATTTTAACAGATTAAGAATAAAATTCTCACAATGGTAAAGTAAAAAGTTTCCTGGAGAATTATAAAACATAACAAAAAAGAATATGGAAAAAATATATTGTTATTAAGAAAGAACATTTCACCAATGTCAGGATCAGAAGGAAAGGGTCGATGCATTCCCTCTGACGTTACAGTGGAGTGAAGGGCGCTGGCCAGGTCTCCTGCCTTTCACCACTGTACAGTGTGCCTGAGCAGGGACCACTAAAGAAAGTAACAGGAGGAAAACAGAGAGCTAGAGTGAAAGACAAATCTAAGGACAGGAAAGGCAAACAGCAAAAGGAAGGAAAAAGACATTCTATCCCACAGACAGCAAAAGTAAACAGAAAAACTGACATAAGAGACAAAGGACATTACGTAATCATAAAAGGGTCAATTCTCCAAGAAGATATAACAATTATAAACACGTACTGAGGGAAGGCACTAGGTAAGGATGAATGCATAGGTGTCAGGAACAACACCTCAGAGTCAGAGAGGATTAGCATGTCCAAAGAAGGGAATTTCAGGATGGATACACTGAAGAATCAACTGAGAACATGACTTCACCTGAGAAAGAGCCATTTCTTACTCCTTCTCTTTCCTCTTCCTCCTCTTCTTATGGGCTTCTTCCTCAGACCATGTGAGGCTTTAGAGGTCGATCTTCAAAGTTGGAAACAGGCTGTTTAACGCTTAGAATCAACACACCCCCTTCCTGAGTCACCACCACACGCACAGGGAAGCCCTCAGCATGGGGAACAGACGGTCCTCTGCTGCCCACTGTCCCAGGAGGGGCTCAGGACAGTGACTCCCACGCACAGACCAACCAGTGAGTTTTCCCACCCTTTCCTTCAGTTCAGGCTCCCCTCCTGGTGAGGCCCTCACATACCGAGCAGCAGCGGGCACCTCAGCTGGACCCGACGATCCCCTGCAGGTCACAGACCAGCCCTGATCCATCCCCACGCAGAGCAGAGCCCTCACCCTCAGCCCAGATCTCAGCCCTCAGGAACGGGGGGACCCAGAGTCCTGATGTTCAATGACGGATCCAGATTGGAACATCCTGGGGAACCTTAAGTATTATTCATGTTGGGCCCCATCCCAGCTCCTTTAAAAGGCATCTCTGGTCAGGGGGTATAAAACATGTGAAGATGCCTTACTCGAATCAATGTGAAGCCTGGGCTGAGCACCGCCTAGAGGAGGTGAGCCCAGCACACCTCACGCTTTCTTTTTCTTTTCAAGCACTACTGAGGTATAATTGATGAATAAAAATGGTGTACAGGCTGTACAACGTGATTATTTGGCAGATGTACACAATGTACAATAATTATCAGCATCAAGTAATTTACACTTCCATTACCTCACAGTTACCATTTTGTGCCTGTCTGGTGAGAACACTAAAATTTTACTCCCTCAACAATTCTCCAGTATATAGTAACACACTATGATCAACCGTAGTCAGCATGGTACACACAGATCCCCAGAACCTACTCATTCTACAAATGACGGTTTCTAACCCTTGGGCAACATCGCCCCATTTTCTCCACCACCCAGCCCCTGGTAACAACCTTTCTACTCTAGAGCTCTGTGAGTTTTACATTTCTAGTTTCCACACAGAATTTATCTTTTTCTGTCTGGCTTATTTCAGTGAGCATATTCATTCTAGGTTCATTCATTTTGTCACAAATGATAGGCTCCTTCATTCTTATGGCTGAATTTTGTGTGTGTGTGTATATACATACATACATATATATATATATTTATATATAAAATCTCTTCGTTATTCATTCGTCAACATTATGGTTCTTTCTACAACTTGGCTGTTGCGAATAATGCATTAATGCTCATTGGGGGCAGACATTTCACTCAATATACTGATTTCATTTCCTTTGGATATCGAGCCAGAGATGGGTTTGACAGATTGTGTCTGTTCTACATTAAATTTACTGAGAAACCACCATACTGTTTTCCACAATAGCCGTATCATTTACATTCCCACCAACAGGGCATTAAGTGTGCTCTGTTCTCTGTATTGGGCCTGTGTGTGTGTATGTGTGTGTCTGTGTGTTGAGACAGATAAAGAGAGGATAGTACAGAAACAAGCATGAGCCTGGCAGCAAGAAAGTTAACAGTTATTTCTTCCCAAGGATGAGCCTCTAGACTTTAGATCACTGTGGTGTTGGGGCCCTTTGATTCTTGAAACAATCTTTCCAAACATGACAGGACTTTATGGTCCGTGCTAGACACATACCTAGCAGAAGCTCCCTGCTCAAAATATTCTGCCATCTGACATAGAACTCATAATTTCCCATATGGACACAAATAAACTAACAAACTCTTATGGGGTCCAACACAGTCTCCAGGCCCTCTCTTAATGATCCTCATATAAAATACCAAATAACAAACCAAGCTCTTCAAAACTCATGCATCAGGAAAAAACACATATGGAGACACCCAAGGATCAGTGGACCCAAAACCCCATATTTTCATTTACAATGATTCCAGCACAAACACTGTCGTCTCCAAAACCTACCAATTAAAAAGATGTCTCCAATGATACACATGCCTCAGTGAGACCCCAACATGCCCAACGAAGTGCTCTCTTTTGTATCTTTCATAGTACATCTGAAATATTCTTCACTCACAGCCCAAAATGCTCAAAAAATAGCAAAGGTAATGCAAAAAATGATGAGACTTTCCCTGTATTACTTGGAGGTTTACACGACGATTCTTACCCTCCCAAAAAAGCCAACACAAGTCACTGCTTTGAGCGGATTCTATAGGGCACCCTCTAGATCCATTCCTGCGGTACCATGGCAGCCATCCTCCTATACCCAGAGCTCCCTATGGGTATATCTCAGGCCACAGCTCTAACAATACTGGGGGAAAATGGTTCTCTCTTTCTAAATCCACTGTCTTCATTCCTCCTCAGGAATGAAGGTGTGACCCAATGTAACCAATACGTGCAAGCCTCAGTCTCAGCATCTATGTTACAGGGAAGCTGAGCTAGGAGCCTATGGCACCTCAAACCCACAACCACCCATAAACCCGTGTCATGATGCTCCAGACAGAATTAAGACATCCCTTGCCAACTTCCCCACATCCCTTGATCCCACAAGGGACAGGTGCACACATTCACTGGGCTCAACTTGATGCCCACACCTGCGGCCATATCCCTCGTGCAGACCCATACAGGCTCTGCTTCACTTCCCCGACTTCTCTATCTCTCCTCCAGGCGAACAAGAGGAAACGTGATAAAGGGCACAAAGACCTCTCAGCAAAGATCTTGCAACAAGAACACAGAAGCTCCTGCCCAAAGGACACTGGGCGTTCAGTATGAAGATCAAAAAGCTGGCCCTCCGGAGAATACTTGCCAGCAACTAGGGACGTTACGGAGTCCGGTTACACAGGCATTTGAGTTCAGTGAGACAGTTACAAAGAGAGAGCATCCCTAAGTTTCTTGTCTCCTGTTCTCCCCACTCACATCGAATTGTAAAATACAGTCCCTATTTAGGGCGCTCTCCTTCACATCCCCTTAGGTTCTGGACCTTCTGCCCCCCACCTTAGCACAGTGAAATCACTACCGCTGACTCTGAGCAGGTGAACTGCTGGAAGGCAAAGCACCTGTCAAGGTGGCGACTGGTCCCTGGATGTGCACACCTGGAACACCTGTAGCTACAGTAGAGCAGTAATGCAGCAGAATAAACATGAGGACACCTGACAACACTGCAGCAGGAAACCACTTGTACAGGGCTTCTTAGGCCTCCCTACATCTTTTTGCTCTGGAGTAATTAAGTAGGCACACAAGGTAAAGATCAATAAGCGCTGAAATATCCAGAGCAAATATGGGAACCACCCTCATCACCTACCCTGTTACCTTCGTATTCCCTGAGGAGTACTCAGCCCAATGGAAATTCCTAGCACCTGAAAACATCCCACGAGTGAGGCGTTGCAGTGACCCTGGGAAAAAGGTGAACACTGTGTCCTTCGGTGGAGGTTAAAGACAAGAGACTCAAAACAATCAATGGAGAAGTGCGTTTCTGTTGAGGGGGACTGATATTGAGGCAGTAAAATCTGGTTAATGTCACAGAGATTGTCGGGGGGGTGGATGGGGAGCCATCTCTGAACTAAGACCTGAAGGAGGGTGTATGGCCAAAATCACGCTGATTTAAAAGAAGAAGGTAAGAGGAGCAACTAAGATCTGAAACATGAAAGGTATTGGTGTGAGAGAGAAAAGGTAATGTGACCAGGACAGAGTGAACCATGAGAACAGGGTCAGCTCCCAGGATGAGGCTGGAGACACCGGCTGGGCCCTGAGGATGATACAGGTCTGTGTAGCTACAGGAAGGAAACTGGATTTTGTCCTGAGGACAAATAAAACCCTAGCATTTTTGCTTTTCATTCTAGGATGACTGGGAACCGTGAAAAATTCTAAATAACACAGGACACTCTCACTAGAAAGAATTCCCACACACAAACACACAATTTGGCCAAACACTTCAGGAGTCAATATTCCTCAGACTCACAGTTTCTGAGTCTAGACGCTCATCTCCATATTACAGGTGGGCTCCCTGAGGAGGCCCAGAGGGGAGACATGTCTGAGAAAGCCCAGGTTGAATACAGAGAATCAGGTGGAACTAAAGTCTGAAATGGGATCCTGAAGGGCCAGTGGGCAGACTTTGTCCTCATCGCCTGTCGAATTTAAAACACCAGGACCAACCTTCATGTTCCTGACCAAAGGAAACTTCTCTTTCGAGGTCTGATCAATTCAATTGAGTATTCAATTCTTCTTTCCAGAAGATCTCAGTAAAATATTTAAACATGCAGATTTGCAAAAATACAGCTACTGGTGAAGAAAACATTGTAAGGGGTCAGCTGAAAAATAAACTGTGAGCAAACTTCTTCATCATGAATAGATGGCTCTGTTGGAGGAAGGTTCCAAGTCAATCCAACTCATCCTTCACCATTTGCAAAGAACACTAAAGAGGGACCTGAGTGAAACATCTTCCTGTCACCTCACAGCTATTTTAACACACCAAATAAAAGAGAAAAAAAACAAATATTAGACTAACTGGTTAAATTAGGTTTTGACTGTTAATGTAAAAGACCAATGACCTCTTTACCAAATACTCATCAAAATAGTCTAAAATTATTTACTAGTTATCAAAGAAGTTTTCCAATATATAAGATGAAGAGGAAAAGCACTCAGGCCTCATAGAAACCTGAATCAATAAAAAGAAATAATTTGTGAATTATTTTTAATCTAAAAATGCTGGTGTCGGAGTCTTTCAAAAATTGAGGATTTACCTTATTTAGAAAAGAATGACATGAGCAGACTACCTAAGGGAACCAAACTTATTCCAGAAGTTAATAATTACCCACAGGAAAGTAGAAATTGAATGCACTAAGATTTATTCCAAGCTACACAAAGAATTCAATGTAAGGAAACCAGAAAGAAAGAAAGAAAATTCATTACAGAAACCAAAACTTTTAATGTTCCTTTAAAGAGGCACCATGTGGTGACAAAGCTAGTTATTTCTTGTGCCACTAGTCTCTCTCCTCTCCTCTACCTCATGCCAGGAAAATGGAAGGGGGTGACCCACAACTGTCTGAGTCAAGTCACTGTGCCTTGGCCGAACAGGAACTGCAAATGGAAGTTATCTTCTCTTACAAATACTTACAAAATACACAAACCTTTCACTTTTTGCACTTCCCATCCTCATCTGTCTAATTGAAGCAAATAAATTTTAATTCATTAGATTCTAAAGCTACAAATCAACATAATCATCCATATCCAAACAACTCACCACCCATCTGGACCCAGTTTCTCAGCTCTACCTGCACCACTATGTGTTTCCACTTCACTCTGTTTAGCTGTCTCCTATTTCACCTGTCTTTTTGTTCCCCTCTACACTCCTGCTGTTTCTCCCCTCCTAGTTCTCCCTCACCCTTGTCCTGCGACTTCTTCCCCTTCTTGCTGCTTTCTCCCCAACCTTTATGATTGTCCTAAATATCCATGTATGTCTCCATCTTTTTCCCAAACTCAGCTCCCTCTCTGATCTCCAGATTACATCCTTTCTGTAACTGCTACAATGCCTTAGTCTGCACTCTCTGGCACCCCAGGTGGCTATGCCTCCTTCCTGCTTTCTCTCTCCTGCTCTTCTAGTCACTAGTTTTCCTCTCTTTCTCTCCCAGCACCACGGTTCTCTGAAGGGCATGGTTGCAACTCTTTCGCTCTCCGCCCACTCCCTGTGTGAAGTGCCTCCCTCCTACCGGTGATACAAGGCCCCTGCCTATGTTACTATTCCATCGGTTCTCTCTCATTCTTTCCTCCTTCTCAGTTTTTCTGCTTCTCTCCCAGTCGCTCGGTCTCTGCTTCTCCTGATCCCCCTCGCCGACGAATTTACAAGGATGAGGGATGGTGACTGAATAAGATGCCACCCTACCGGAAGAGACTATATTCCAGCGGGGTGGAACCTGGGGACAGACATACACTGGGTGTCACAGGGCTGGCCCAGGTCACCTCTCCCTACGCGGGGTGAAAGGAAGAGCTGACTAGGAAGGAGAGGCCTGCGGAGCAGAAGCACCGGCCTGAGGACACGCGAGGACAGAGGGGCTGGGAGGGAGGGAGGGGGTCTCCGGAGAGGGGCGGGCTCTCCAGAACCCTAGGGCCGGGGAGAAGACGCGGCCTCTCCGGGAGCGCGGCGGCCGGCGCTGCCCTCCAGGGGCCGAGAGGGCCAGGCTGGGGGCGCGAATCCACCTCGCGGAAGAGGACTTTACACTGCGAGGGAGAGACATTAACAGCTTTGAAGCAGGGAAATGTTGCGAAAGGCGGTGTCTACGTGGACAAGGTAAAAAAGCCAAGGTCAGGGACCAGCCTCGGAGCGAATTCAAACCCAAAGGAAAAAACACCCGTCCTGTGACCGCGACGTCTGGATTTACTTGGCGTGGAGGGCCGGCTGCTGTGATTTTACGTCCATAGTGACTCCGAGACCCCGAGGATGGAGTAAGGGGGACGGCACGGCACATATACACTACAAAGAGAAAACTTACGGTCAGCCGCACGATATTCACCTCGAACTCACTGGTTCTGCTTCCGTAGGAAACCGCGGACACTCAGAGAGAAGAGGCGGGGCTTCCGGGGCGGGGCCTGGGCGGAGCGCTACGTGCGAGGGGCGGGGCGGGGAGAGGGCAGGTCTACGGAGAGAGCGCGGGAGTGCGGCGCAGGGGCCGAGGTTCCCCTACCTTGACCTGTTTAGTTAACTGTCCATAATACTTTTAAGGTAAAAGCGTACAATTGTATGGGCCGGTTTTGCAAAAACTAAGAAGATTCCTCGTAAGTTAAAAACAGATTAAATACAAAGCTTTTTTTTTGCCAACAGATTTCTCGCACGTCCCGCTAGTGAGGCTGAAGCAATTCAGAGCTCTGGAAATTTGGGTCTCCAAGTGGTAGCTGTGGGGCGGTGATTGGAGCCTGGAACATTTGCTGCAGTTACAATTAATATAAGCACTTTAAGGAAATAAAAACTGGATTTTTCTTTGTATTACAAATGAAAATGTGCATTACAAAAAGAACTCTAGCTATGTAGAATGGTTATTTCATACTGAAACCCTAAAGAACGGATATTCCGACCTTCCAGCCTCCGCGGCCGCCTTGGAGCCCCTGAAAAAGCTTGTGGCAAAGGGGGGCAATTAAAAAACCAAAAGGAGCAGGTCCTGAAGTTTACTCTTGACTGTACCCATCCTGTACAAGATGGACTCATGGATGCTGCCGATTTTGAGCAGGTTCTTCAGGAGAGAATCAAACTGAATGGAAAAGCTGGGAATCTTAGTGGAGGCGTTGTAACCATCAAAAGCAAAAGCAAGATTACCGCAACTTCTGAGGCGTCTTTTTCCAAAAGGTATTTGAAATATCTCACCAAAAAATATCTGAAGAAGACTAATCTCCGAGATTGGTTACGTAGGTTAGGTAGGTGCTATCACCAAAGAAAGTTACAAATTGCATTACTTCCAGATTAATCAAGATGAAGAAGAGGGCTTCCCTGGTGGCGCAGTGGTTGAGTCCGCCTGCTGATGCAGAGGACACGGGTTCGTGCCCCGGTCCGGGAAGATTCCACATGCTGGAGAACAACTAAGCTTATGTGCCACGACTACTGAGCCTGAGCTCTAGACCCCATGAGCTACAGCTAAGGAAGCCCATGGGCTCTAGAGCCCGCGTAACGCAACTACTGAGCCCACGTGCTGCAACTACTGAAGGCTGCACACCTAGAGCCCATGCTCCACAAGAGAAGCCACCGCAATGAGAAGCTGGTACACTGCAACAAAGAGTAGCCCACGCTCGCCACAACTAGAGAAAGCCCATGCACAGCAAAGAAGACCCAACGCAGCCAAAAATAAAAAAATAATTTAAAAAATAAAATAAAGGGCACTAAAATGAGGTATGCCTGTATAGATGTTATAGAACATTATCATAACCACAATTATATTTGCAGTTAAGTCATTTAAGAGTCAACAGATACTAACAAATTAAGTACAGATGTTGAGTTATGGAAGGATAGAAATAATGTCTTGTTAGTGTAGCAACATAATTAAGCAATTTGTCACTGAAACCAGACAACCTGGATTCAATTACCGATTCTGCCACTTGCTGGGATGCAAATGAATGGGTCTAAATCTGTGTTTGTCCTAAAATCATTTGTGAAATGAGAATAAATATCAGTGCTTTTCTGAGAGATGAAAATTTAGTAAGTTATTAGGCATAAACCCTTAATAACAATAACTCTTACCTGAAGTGGGATAATGACGAAATATAATATAAATCAGACTGAAGATCGCTTTTCCAAAGAAAATATTTTCTTTTTGCTCAGGATTAAGTTCTAAGTGGAGGATATTGGGTGTCAGTTGTCATGCTATATATACGTAGCACAAATCTTATTTTCTCTGCAAAATGTACTGGCCCTGAATGTGAATACCAACCACCGAGAAGTGGCAGAATGGCTTCCAGGCATTTTGGCAATGGAGACTGTCTCATTGTCACAAACTATACTTGGAATTGTGGGGTCTTTCTATCTTATTCATCCTTATAATCTCATTCAGTTCACTGCATCCTTGTTCATTTCCACAATCTTGATTTTCAAGCACTTTACCATACCAATTCCCAAATTAAAACATTTCATCTCACCATCTCCCCATTGCAGTTCTTTCATTAAATTGATCACCTAGAGAAATGCTCTTTTATCATGTTTACAGTGCACCTACTTTATATAAGTCACTGAGTTATGTACGTATTCATGTCACAAGAATCGGAAAACAAGTCACTGATTTATACGTCCCTTGATGTAAAAATGGAAGATGCAGATTAACTGGTGGCGCAGTGGTTAAGAATCCGCCTGCCAATGCAGGGGTCACAGGTTTGATCCCTGCTCCGGGAAGATCCCACATGTAGCGGAGCAACAAAGCCCAGGTGCCAAACCTACTGAACCTGCACTCTAGAGCCCATGAACCACACAACTGCTGAAGCCCGCGAGCCTAGAGCCCGTGCTCCGCAACAAGAGAAGCCACCGCAATGAGAAGCCCGCGCACCGCAACGAAGAGTACCCCCCCACCCCCCCGCTCACCGCAACTAGGGAAAGCCCGCGCACAGCAACAAAGACCCAACGCAGCCAAAAATAAATAAATAAATTTAGTTTTCAAAAAAGCAATACATTTTTGGAAAATGTCTGGAAGGAAAAAATAATGCTAAGGAAAAAGTGTATTTAAAAAAACACAACAGTCACTCAGGCATAAAAAGAAACGAAATTGAATTATTTGTAGTGAGGTTGGACCTAGAGTCTGTCATACAGAGTGAAGTAAGTCAGAAAGAGAAAAACGAATACCGTATGCTAACACATATATATGGAATCTAAAAAAAAAAAAAAATGGTTATGGAGAACCTAGGGGCAGGACGGGAATAAAGACGCAGACCTACTAGAGAATGGACTTGAGGACACGGGGCAAGGGGAAGGGTAAGCTGGGACAAAGTGAGAGAGCGGCACGGACATACATACACTACCAAATGTAAAATCGATAGCTAGTAGGAAGCAGCTGCATAGCACAGGGAGATCAGCTCGGTGCTTTGTGACCACCTAGAGGGGTGGGATAGGGAGGGTGGGAGATGCAAGAGGGAAGAGATATGGGGATATATGTATATGTATAGCTGATTCACTTTGTTATAAAGCAGAAACTAACACACCATTGTAAAGCAATTATACTCCAATAAAGATGTTAGAAAAAACAAAAACAAAAAACAGGGACTTCCCTGGCTGTCCAGTGGACAGCCAGACTCTGCACTCCCAATGCAGGGGGCCCGGGTTTGATCCCTGATCAGGGAACTAGATCCCACATGCAGGCTGCAACTAAGAGTCCACATGCTGCAGCTAAGATCCCGCATGCCTCAGCTAAAAGATCCCGCATGCCGCAACGAAGATCCTCCATGCCTCAGCTAACACTCGGCACAACCAAATAAATAAATATTTTTAGAAAAAAAAAAAATTATTACAGTAGAAAATAAACCATGTAACATATTGCTTAGTAACGTTATTTGAAATGAAAATTTTAATAGCCCTTGGATAATTGCTCTTCTACTAAATTGCCTAGTTATATTATCCAATAAACAGTTCCACACATTAATTTTTTTTTTTTTTTTTTTTTTTGCGGTACGCGGGCCTCTCACCGTTGTGGCCTCTCCCGTTGCGGAGCACAGGCTCCGGACGCGCAGGCTCAGCGGCCATGGCTCACGGGCCCAGCCGCTCTGCAGCATGTGGGATCTTACCGGACCGGGGCACGAACCTGTGTCCCGTGCATTGGCAGGTGGATTCTTAACCACTGTGCCACCAGGGAAGTCCCTATTGGCCATTTTTATTTCTTCATTTGTGAATTATCTCAGTACTTTGCTCATTTATCTATTATCCACAATACGACTAGTTATTTTATTACAAAAGTAACTAAAAAGTAATGAAGACATTGTAAAATAGATTAGAACATTTGAATATTTATAGTGTTTTATAACATGCTGTTTAAATAACTCAATCCAATACATTGAGAATATCTTTCTATGTCAACCAGTGTATATCTAAGCCATCATTTTTTTTTTACTTTTTTTTTTTTTTTCGGTTCGCGGGCCTCTCACTTTTGTGGCCTCTCCCGTTGCGGAGCACAGGCTCCGGACGCGCAGGCTCAGCGGCCATGGCTCACGGGCCGCTCCGCGGCACGTGGGATCTTCCTGGACCGGGGCACGAACCCGCGTTCCCTGCATCGGCAGGCGGACTCTCAACCACTGTGCCACCAGGGAAGCCCCACACACATTAATTTTTATTAAACAGGGTAAATGTATTTAGCCAATTTTTAAAAATAGTATTTTACAAGCACTTTCAACAACCCAATTGAACAATATGCTGCAGGAGGAAAAAAAAATGTAATAACATTATTAGCATGAAGAAGCGTATAGTGTGTCCTAACCAAGAAACCAGGAGGTTCAAGAGTAAATATTGCATTTAATTGAACAATCTGACTGCAGTTTTTGATGTTTCACTACTGACACCGAATAATCACAACCTCTTCCTATCCAGCCTATGTGGGCAAGCTGATAAAGAAGCCTGATGGCTCCATCCTGTGATACAAACTGAAAGTTCAAATCGCAAGTGTATCCTCCATCAAGCCTCACCTGGTTAATCACATTAACACACCAAGCCAGTCACCATTCCCTGTTCTCTCAAACCATTTTAAAACACCTTGGAAGTCTCCCCTGTCCCCCTGGACAGCTGAAGTATGTAACAAATATTCGCATAACACTTTAATGTTAGCATCAGCCTCAATGACGAAACAAAACCTTGGATGGGGTTCCACCCTATTCCAGTGAATGGTTACAAGTGCACATTACCAAAAATAAAGAATGTTTGGGTAGTGAATGTATGAAATTTCTACTTTATCTCTCAAAGGAAAAAGTTCCTCTTGTATATTGTTCGTTTTTAAAACTCATGAACATTGATATTTTCAAATTATTTCCCTGAGCGATTCAAGCATAAGAGATTGTATGATTTTAAATTTTTCTAATATTTCGCATGTGCTTACTATATTCCTATTTTCCCATAATGTAAATCAAGGTGCATGCCATGTACTGCATATTCATGAATGGGGGACAGGTTTTAGGGAGTGTTGAAAAAAATAAAACAGTCCCAAAGTGGTCATTTGCCCCAAAGACAGCAAAACAAGACTTTATTGCAGTTACACCCCT